TGGTCCACTTTTCTGTTAATCTAAACAAAAGATCACCCATGTACCGAATTTCGAATAAATAAAACCGTAAATATGACTATTTGTAAAGATGAGTCACTGGCCCACTTGCCGGAGAGAAGTGTAGTCTTCCTGTTGAATTAAGCAAAATGCCACCTATGTACTAGATTTCGAGTAATTTGCTCCACTAATAAGATTTTTTCCCGAAATTTTTTTCGTAAAGTCCTACCCACGTATGATAGAAATAATCTGACGGAATTTCAAGTCATTCAGGGGATAACTTTTAGAGAACACCTGTTTGACGGTGACATACGACTTTTTTTTTCGAATGGGGAGTCCCAGGTCCACTTCTCGAATTTTTTTCTTGTAAACTATTCCAGGAATCATAAAAACAATCTGATAAAATTTCAAGTAAATCAGTCGGTATGAACTGCTTTTTCATAATATACAATACATATTCCTAATCGTAATCATCTCCGCTTGAATTGCCTTCACCGCTTTCATGATCATCATCATCAGCTTCAATATTATTGCCATACGCCATCACGATCATCTCTAAGGCTTTTTCGGGTAAATCCTGCACTTTTTGTAGTAATTTTCTTCTGGTAGATATAAAGGGTTCAAAACTGATTAAAAGTCTGTTGAATATGACTTCATTTGCTCTTTATCTGCTGCATTTGCGAGAAAAACGTTCTCTAAAAGTCTTAAAATCTTTGATCCGAGCCTCCTGAGCTTCTTCCGACCATTGTCCGATTGGTATCGGGGCGCAGGACATTAACTCTGGTAAATGGATAAAATATTTGGGAGCATGTTTTAACCAGGATAACATTCAATGAAATATTTTTCTGTTTTTAAGCGCAGCCACGTAACTTTTGCACGTCAATATTTTGTCCACTATAAACAACTCCGAGTATTGTATGCATCTTTTTTTTTTAAGTTTATATCACCTTGGGATTTTGAAAGAAGAGCCTGGAAGTATTCCATCATTAGAATTCCCAGGTTTCGGTTAGTCAACAATTAATTAATATGCATTATTTTGAATGCGTGCTTTATTTTCCGAAACAAATATTTAATTTCCCGCCTACTGTTCGAGCTCGTCATCTTTTTATGCACAATTTATACGATAAGTGGAGCCGATATTCAAAGAACCTAATCCACCCTTGGAGTATCGAAATAACAAGTTCTCAATTTTCTGTTTTTACATATTTCTATACCATTACATAAATTTTATTAAAATCTTTCGAGATAGCTCCACATAAATAACACTTGTGTGTAGATGTTGTTTCTGTTAATGCGTTGCATACTTCTCCGTTAACCACAGATAAAATTAAATTGTGTTAAGCTTCCAAATATTTCTTTCCATAAAGTATAATCAAATTAACGGGATTTCGTATTTCTTTACGAACTATTTCGTTTATTTTGCAATTTCTATATTTTTTCTTGTTCTACCTTGAGAAATTCGTATATATTGCACCATGCAGTTTGCATCAAGAAATTCATATACTGAGAAGGTGCGCAAAAAAATAAACCACAAAGCTTTAGAATATAGAAATGAAAAGAAAAAAATAAACTTGCAATTTTCAGAGAATATTGCAAGAAAATGCCTACAGTGGCTCGCAGCGGCCGCTTTTGTCTGCAAAAAAGCGAAGAAAATCAAAACAAATAACAAATTTCATAAGCTCACTTTTTTCAAATTATTATATAAATACAAGAAAATTTTTTTTATGCAATTACATTTGTCTTTAATTAGCATTTAACATAATAAGAGAAAAAATCATGTTACAGTGAAAATGGTCCACTCTAGCTAAGCTGCGATATCTAACTGAACTTTTTTAGAATCTTCAGTTCTTTTGGTGAGTTTACTTAAGTTAACAGTGTGCACTGAAACGAATACGTGCTTTGCTTATTTATTGTTTGTTTTGTTCTTAATCTCAAGATGGGCCGCAATACTACGATGGAGTTGCGATATTTAATTATTGGGAATTGTAAAGATGGAAAGTTTTCAACAGAAATCGCAAAGATCGTTTGAACAACAGTTGAAAACATCATTCACCAGTATAAAAAATGAAAATCAAGTAATAAATGAACCTAAAATTAACTCACAAAAAATTTTTCACCAAACGAGAAGAGAGATGAACAGTCTAACAAAGCAAGAACTATCCCCCGGCTGAGTAAACCAAAACTATATGACATGGTAGAAAATCAATTTAGAAGAAATTGTGATGCCGAGATCATTCGAATAATCTTTCGAAAGGATGGACTAATTGGTGGAATTGCTCGAGAAAAACCCTTTGTTAGCCAGAAGAATTAAAACCTGTGATTGCGTGATATATACGGATGAAAGCAAGTTTAATATTTTCAGATCGGAGGACAAAATAAACGCTTGAGAAAACCTAACCAGGTAATGGATCCTAGTTATCTGCGTCAAACAGTCAAATACGGTGATGGCCACGTGATGGTCTGGGGTGCATATTCGGCTGCTTGTGTTAGTTAATTAAGAAGATTTATGGCATTTATTTATGGTATACACAAACAAGATAGTGGAATCTATCCCGAATTATTAAAGATCCGTTATTCGCCAAAAAAATGTATCCAACAAAATATTATTAATATATATATAATAACAAGATAATATTTAATATTTTGCGAAATGCTTCTTTTTATGAAAAATGTCATTGAATAAAAGTAATGTTTTCCTAAATTTATAATTTTAATTAATGCACTTACGAAATTCACCAAATTTTATTTAAATATTTTGATTTTCTTGACTTTTTTTGCAGTTAAAACCAGTTGGTTTCAGGTGGACCATTAACATTGTGAGCCACTGTACACTATGCATTTTTTTTTATAGACCTGGTAATTCTTTTCTCATTTCATATGGGAGAAAAATTTAAATATCGAAGTTAAGGTCGGCAATAGCCGCCTAAAAAGTGAGGATATACTTCGATTCATCTGTTTGGCACCAGTTTAAGAAATTTAGGAACTCTGTTACTAAGGTTCAACTATTTATTTGTCTTCCTTTAAATTTTTTCGGAGGTTAAATTGTTTGCAAGTTTTATTTCAATCAATTTCGTAATTTCCTCAAAGGGGTTGATATGTATGTACTTGAAATGTATACTTATCTGTTCCATTCGGGATGAACTGAGGAGACAAATTGAAGCCACTTAATATTTCCTGCGTAGTGCAAATCTTACTCATTCTTTGTATTCATCGGCGGGTATTGAGTCGAAAATAATAAAAGTTGGAGTTTTGTCAACCTCAAAGTCACAACTTTCAACAGTGTCGTGGAAACCAAGATGCAAGTGCCTCGAATGCGTCGGTGGGGTACCTTCGGATTCTGAATAAGCTGTTAGTGTTACTTAGTATGAGTTTAAAAAGTCTTTTTCTCCTATTATTTTAGATCCCTTATTGCCACCAACTGTTGTCAGCGCTTTGCCACTAAATTTGAATAGCTCAGCTAATAAGCTATCGGCTTGCAACTCTTTGTTGCAAGTGCTATTCGTACTTCATCGTAATTAGGTAATGTAATATATGTTCCACTCTCATTGGGTATTCAAAATCGAAATTTTTGAGCTCTTCACTTTGACTTCAAGTAGCATTCTCAGAAACTCAACTCCTACACGGGTATGCTCCGCTCTCGAAACTATCTGCGTAAATCTCAAAGCATTTTCAAGCGTTACTCCTTACCCTTGTCGGCTATCTTCTCAACCTCTTTATAACCAACTGCTGTAAATAAATCCACATTGTACCAGCTGTTCTTTCGACATTGTGAAAAATCATTGATTTATTGTCTGTTGTATGATGAGCGCAGGAGCGCTACCCGGATAGAAACCGTTTGGCTGTCAGTTGGGATTGAAGCTCTTGGACATCGAACCTTACTTATTGACGGGCGTTCTATGCTCGACATATAACCATATTTCAGGCCTTTCGAAGTTGTTCAGAAAAAAAGATTTTGATGTACTACTATTTCATTTATCTGACTCTTCACTGCGTCAGTTTAGAAGTGAGCTGGTACATTTTTTTTGTGTATTAAAAGTAGTATAAATATGGTATACTTCTGTCAAAAAACTGACATTTCATGTGATATCTTATTGCTTAAAATACTTGTACTGAAAAGGGGTAGAACGCTAACCAACGAGGCTGGCTTAAAGCACTTGTTTCAAAACTGTCTATAACTAGTTGATTGTGACTGTAAAGTACATATATATAAACTGCTACAACAACATCCACTGCCTTCTCACATTATTATCTTATCAAAGAAAACTATTTACGATATTTTAATAATGCCATAAATATGAACGCTTCCCTGCAACTCCTTCGATTAAAAGATATAAATATTACCACAGAATGACTGTAGGTGCCAGCGTTTGACGAAAAAGCAATAACAAAAACAAGGAGAGTAGGCGCCAGTGCTTAGTTAAAGAACAAAAACCAATATCTCAGTATACGACTAAAGTTGGCTGGTAAAAAATTGAAGACGAAAGGAAAAAAAATCGACAAAAAGGAAGAGAGAAAAAAAAAAAGATATTAAAAATTGTAAGCATCGGAAATGTGGCAGTGGCTGGCGCTTGAGGAAATATTACAAGTCGTACGCAACGTCATAAAAAATATATATTGACGGCTACCCTGACATGCGATATTTAAAGTTGATGTGATAATTGACAATCAACATATCATAAATCGATGTTTGGCAGGGCACAAACGTACGCAGTGGATGCAACCAGAATTAAAACCGTGAACGGAAATCAGTTCCATGCGCATGGATAATCAAGAAGCCTAAAAAAATGCGTATGTTTGTATGGAAATGTGTAGTTTTACTAACTGACTTTTGATAGCCACCAATTGCATATAAAAAGCCCTCCGGTCTGCAGTTATTTTAGTTGATTGAAAGTGAATTTTTGTAAAGAATGTAAAGTGAATAAGCAATAAACTTAAAGTAAAAAAAAGTTGAGTTCTTTGCTGAAGGCAGTAGCTATTAACTCTTGGCATTGTTTTTTAAGAAAATGAAAGTATTACTACTGAACTTAATTTTGTGGCTACCCGCCGCATTGGTGCTTGGTGGTATCACATATAATGCGGAGAGAAATATTTCGGATGTGGCTATAGGTAGACAATTTGCTTGAATATATTGAAAGAGGAAGCTATAAAATTATATACTACCGTGGCGTAGTGTAATACGTGTATATAAATTTAAATTTAATAAATAAATATACATTAAAAAAATATGATAATTATAATTTTTCTTCCTCCTAACCAGCACTCTCGGAAATCATCAACGCCTTGAAACCTCGCCAGCTAGCCATACTCTCAGCACCACAATTCCATTTCAACACACGCCATGCGCCACTCCCAGCAGCAGCTGAAATTCCCAACGATTCACAGTTGGAGAGCATGCAAATGGATATCGACGATTTCATCTATAAATTACATAAACTCAATTTCAAATCAGTCATTTATAATAAAGCCGATCTATTTTTCAAATTTGTCGAAGACAGTCTACTTGGCTCGATTGAGAGTGTCAATTTGATATTTAGCGCACCGTATGAGTTGTCGGCACGCATACAGGAGCGTAAGTTGTCACATCGATTAAGTTTATTCATATTCTATTGGGGTGCCAAACATCCCCCGAAGGCGAATGAAGTACGTTTTGAGGAGCCAATGCGTGCGGTTGTCATTACGAGGCCGAGGAAGAAAGCGTAAGTGTTAAGGGGCATCAATAGATTTTTCAAAAAATCAATTTTTTCGTTAGGGTAAAGAATCCTTTGAACCTTGTGGAATAAAGGCCAAAAGGTTTAAAAAAAAGTCCGAATTGATTACATTGAAATTTCAAACGTTTTTTTTTTACTGTTGTAAGGATAATTTCTATTTTTTCCGCTTCTCAGCAAATTATATTTATTTTATTACCAGAGTTTAACCGCAACTTCGTCCGAATGGAATTTAAAAATTTTTTGATAAAATTTTAAGTTGGGTTTTAAGATATTTAATTTTTAGTAATATATAAATTGTTATAGGAAATTTCTTGAATACTTATAAAATATATCAATATTTATTATTATGTTGGGATTTAAGACTTAAGTGAATATGAATAAGAAATGGAATTCATATCGTGGTATTCCTTTGTAGACAAATTACGAAAATCTACTTCTGCTACTATAAAGCGTTTAACTTTGAATGCTGTAGGCGTATTATGTTTAAGTTCAGAAATATTCATTTTCTATTTAAAGCAAAAGGTCTGAGAATTGTCCCGCAGTTACAACTCCTTTCATATGGACTCTTTTAAATAAAGCTGGATACGATAGGTGGCTGGATGCCATGCGAGTTAACGCAAAAAAACTAATGAACTGAATTTCCATCTGCGAATCGCTTCTGAAACACAACAAAATCAACTCCTTTCCGAAGCGGTTGATGACTGGCGATGAATAGTGGATCACTTACGACAAGGTCAAGTGAAAACGGTCGTGGTCAAAACGCGGCCAAGAGCGGTCAGATTTGGCCAATAGGAGAGGAATTTGTGTTCCATCAGGACAACGCCAGGCCACACATATCGATAGTGACACACCAGATGCTCCGGGAGCTTGGTTGCGAGGTTCTTACGGATCCACCTTATAGCCCCTGGCATTCGCTTCAAGAGGGGCTTCTAAAATCGACTGTCTAATTTTTTTGACCATTAGGAAAGAGTGCTTCTATGAGAGAGAGAGACATAACGATATTACCATTAAAATGGCAATAAGTTAGCGAACAAAACGGAGCACATTTGACCTAAATCGGATAGTTATAACAGAGGTAGTTAAAGCCTTCAATTTCAAAATAATTGGATAATATATAATTGGGGCATTGCAACCGTTCAAGCATTTTTTGGCAGAGCTCCAGCTTTAACTTGTGGGATTTCCAGCAAATGTAGGGAACAACAGTTCATTTGAGCCGCCTCCGAAATCTCCTTTATAGGTCATTGTATTAACTTTTTAGATATGAAAATTGTTTTTGCTATTTTCTACCATTTTATCTCCATCTGAGAAACTATTCTCTAATTTTTGTTCCTAGTACCGATGTAAGTACATTTTCTAGCTTTTTTGATGACGTCATTAAACAATTTTGAACATGTTTTTGAAAGTTTGTAACAAAATTCTATATTCTATATGAAATAGCGTATTATTCACTTGTTCCCGTATTTTGGTAGCTAAACGATATTTCAAAACGTATATTTCAAGCAATTCTAGTTATAAATAGATTGGTCCCACTTGCAGGTAGAAATGTATTCCCAATGGTTCTTTGGGCAACATTCTTTTCATAGTTAGTTTCATGCCCAATTTTCGACAGCAAATGTGTGCCCTGTGGTATTTTAGGCCGGAAACTACCTCTGTACCAAATTTTGCATAAATCAAACATAAATAAAATATTTTCCAGCTTCCTGAAAATCATTTCCTATTGGGTTCATACGTCATATGCAGAATACCCCCTCCAAATTTTCGTTCTCTACGATCAATCGTTTCGGCTGTTGGTTGATCCGACTGTCATTCAGGGCAAACCCTTTTATATACGTATATAAATAGATAAGCTAACTTATAAAATCAATTAAAAAATAGAATGATTTTTATAATTATATATAGATTTCGTATTTACTACAATCAAGCCGTACCGGATGGTGTCAGCAATCTGCGCTTGGTCAACTGGTATGATGGTGATAATTTGGGTTTACAGAAAGTGCCGTTATTACCCAATGCAGCAAGTGTCTATTCAAATTTCAATGGACGTGTATTTCGGGTGCCGGTATTTCATGTGAGTGAATATTACAGACGTCTTAGGCCCGTTTTCATAATGTCCGACTAACTTAACCTGTTACCGGAGTTTAGCTAACCGCCAGATAAGCTGATGTGACACCTTCGTTTTCACCAAATTCTGGTTATTTGCGCTGAGAATACATCAAAACTGCGTGATGGTATTTGTTTATATTTTTCCCACACGATATGGCTGAGAAATTTTTAAGATCTCCTGTTTTCTGTTCTTTTTTGTTATGAAAAAAAAAAATTAAATAAAATTTATTTTAATTTAATATAATTTTATTTGGGAAAAAATACTGTCGCCAGCCGAAAAGCAGTCCTTAAACCTTTGCTTTGCTCAAATCGGTGGTTTAGACAACTATTATTAAAAAGAATGCTGTCATGTCCATAACCAGTTCACCTACATACAAAGTTCGTTGTTTGCATTTGGCAAGTAACTTTTTCTTTTCCTGGTGATTGGATTCTGACATGAGTTCAATCTAAACATCTCAACACCTTTGAAAACTTCCCTATTCGGAGAATAGTGCGCATGAATTAAGCTCCAGAATCAACGCAACCAGATAGTCAGTGCTTTCCACATTTTTCTTAATTAAATTTTTTTTAAAGTCAACACCGGAATACAATAGAATGTATTGTATTTATTATTTTACTATTTGCAGCTGTAAAATTATTTTCTGGTTAAGAGCTAAATGACACTGAATGTTGGCGCTAAGTTAACCACAACTTAGAAGCGCTTTACTCGGACATTGTGAAGACAACTTTTATGCTACCTTCCGATTAAGTTAGGATTAAGTGCTTAACCGGAGTTAGTGAAAACGGCCTTAATTTTTTTAGAAAAACGATTTAATGCTGTGAGCAGTTATTGCATTTTTGATGATGTTGAAATGTAATATTAATTGTTATATGATGAAACAGATAGTAATCATATTCAATTTTTTTAATTTAAATAAATATATTTAATTCCCAGTCCCCACCTTGGTTCTGGGTGAACTATGATAATGATTCCATCAACTCTACCATGTTGGATGATTATATCGATTCGTCAAATAGCTACATGGAATTGACAGAAGTAAATGTGACTGGTGGACGTGATCATTGTCTACTAAATCTCTTGGCTCAACATATGAATTTCCAATTCGTTTACATTGAGGCACCGGGACGGACTCAAGGTTCCTTACGTATTGATGATATAGGCGGGGAAAATGAGACCTTTACTGGTGGTATTGGTCTGCTACAAAATGGGGTAAGTGTTGTAGAAAAAAAAATTTCAATTACAGTTGAGCTCGGGCTTAGTGGAACTTTGCTCTGGGTGTCTCTTTATGTTCAATCAACGCCACTGATAAGACATGTAAAAAGTAGTTTTGATGCTCTAATAGTGATGATTTCGAATAATTCGAAGACAAAGAACGTTCTGGCCTACCAAAAAAAAATTTAAAGATGAGGAGTGCTGCTAAAACTAGGTGAAACCATAGATGCGAAATGTTATCGATTGCATTACCCAAAAAATTGCCAGAAAAAATGATGATATGGGAAGGTTTTATCTCACCCGCCGTATACTCCAGACCTTGCGTCTTCCGACTACTGGCTTTTTCGACGGATGCAAAACGAGTTAGGGGTCACCGGTTCGGATCTTTTGAAATGATTGAAGAATGGCGAGGATGAAGGGATCTAATTTTTTAGTGATGGTATTCACACAATTCACAAGAGGAAAGGGAAAAGTAATCGCTTCCGATGCATTGTTCCTTTGATTGAATGGTGTATTTCATACTTTTGTTTAATAATAATTACTTTTTACCACAAAAAAGTCGATCGAATGAGTTTGTACACGCAATATAGACGACTTGTTGTTTTTCAAATCAGAGATTTTGGCTCATAAATCTACTAAAACTAAAAAAAAGAAAATGTAATTAGTCCCCTCAGAAATCTATCCGATAATCTTCAATAAGCGTGTAGACTAACGCTGAGCAACACCAAAAGGTCAATATTACATATCGGAAAGCATCTCTCCGAGCCGTTCGATACTAAGTGAGGTTTCAAACAAAACCAGTCCTTATCATGAGAATCCTTTAATTTGTTGCTGCAAAAATCGAAAAATGGTAAACAAATAAAGTTAAATTTTTTATAAGAGCGTACAACTGCTAACATATGGCGATATTTATACAATTGGCCTAAGCATGAGGAAGCTAGGGGAAGGGTTCTGGTGGTAAACGAAGACAAGACGAAATATCTATAATACTGGTCATGAAATTCGATAGAAACAGAAATATAGGAAGGCCAACGGAGTGAGTTGGGAAGATTTGGTGAAGAGCGACCTGTTTTCACACCATCTCAGTCTGAGCCGACGAATTCAGAATGGAGTATGGGAGCCGAGGTATACCCCGAAGACCCTAATATCTCCGTTGCATCTAGCAAACTCTGCTGTCATCTTCCAGAGCTTAAAATCAATGACTTTGTAGGTATACAGACAGAAACCATCTACCTAAACCTACAGTCAAGCGGTCTTGCTGACATTAGCATCACTAATGGTAAACTCCAGCGTAGTAAGCAATTGTATAAGAGTGCTAAACTTTTCTGGCTCTGTTGACATATCCTGCAAAGGGGCAATTACAACTCGATTTTTTTGTAGGAACCCAGGAACCTCCTCGTGGCTGTATGCATTCTAACTACTTGACTACTTGGCCAGTAAATTTATTGAAAATTATACACAATTAACTTTTGAAGATTTTTTTACGTTTGGTTTATTTTAAATTTTCGAGCAGATGCCAACTCTAGAAAGAAGTTTCGCTTCGATAATAGTTAAATTAATAATTGATCAAATTCTTTCACAAACTCTTTCGCAGTTAGCGGACTTTCTTCTCGGTGACGTCAGTCTTAGTTGGGAGCGACGCAAGGCCGTTGAGTTCTCCTTCTTCACGCTAGCCGACTCCGGTGCTTTCGCAACACATGCGCCACGTCGACTCAACGAGGCATTCGCCATCATAAGACCTTTCAAGCGTGACGTTTGGCCCTATTTAATATTAACTGTTATATTTTCGGGTCCTATATTTTATGCAATTATAGCCATACCGTATAAATGGCATTTACCATGTCAAGGGCGCGCAGGAAGTGTGAGACGCACAAAATACAGGAAGCAACAATCCAGACAGCAGCAACAGCAACCGCAAGAACGTGATATAGAGCGCGCCAATGAGCTGGTTTTCCATGTGGCTTACATAAGGGAAATTACAGGCGATAATGAGATGGCCAAGCGACTGCTGCGTCGTCAAAGACAACAACAGCAACTACTAGGGGAAACAAATGCTCAGCAAGAGCGTCTTGGTGATGGGGCTTTGGGTATGGCGGAAATGCCATACAATCTATTCGATAAATGCATTTGGTTTACAGTCCAACTATTCCTCAAGCAATGTGAGTTTCTTCTATTCGTTCAGCTTCAAGTTCTCAGTAGCATTTTTATCTTTTAATGAGCATTTTGTGCGTCCAACCACTCAGTCAGTCAGCTTGGTTAGTGCACAGCCTGACATTTATTGCATTGCCATTTCATTCAATTATTTTATCACTATCAACCAACCAGCCGACCACTTGCCTAATTATGACTGTCAGCATCTAAGCACATTGGAATGTGTTTGTGTATACTCGTATAAGTGATTATAGTATGTACATATACTATTTATAATCTTGGTGTGCCCCACAGCCTGCAAGGAGCTTTATCATGGCTATCGCGCCAAGTTTCTCATGATCGTGTACTGGATTGCGGCCACCTACGTGTTGGCTGATGTCTACTCCGCCCAGTTAACGTCACAATTCGCGCGTCCGCCACATGAGGCACCAATTAACACGTTGCAACGTCTACAGACAGCTATGCTGCGCGATGGTTATCAGTTATTTGTGGAGAAGGAAAGCTCATCGTTGGAAATGCTAGAGGTGGGCACTCAATTTCGAGCACAGACGTTAGCATGGGGCGAGTGAAAGTAATATTTGACTTGTTTCCACTTTTTTCTTCTTCCTCTTTCCTTTGCTTAGAATGGCACCGAAATATTTCGTCAGTTATATGCGCTTATGAAGCAGCAGAATCCAGATGTGGAAGGTTACCTTATTGACTCTGTAGAGGCGGGTATATTGTTGATTGCCGACGGACTGGAGAATAAAGCGGTGTTGGGTGGACGAGAGACACTCTACTTTAATATACAGCAATTCGGTCGGTAGGGTAGAGATTGAGTTTAATTTTAATTTAATATTTACTCTGTTTTTTAGGATCTAAGACCTTTCAACTTAGTCATAAACTCTACACACGCTATTCGGCAGTTGCCGTGCAGATCGGTTGCCCGTTTTTGGATAGTCTTAACGATGTGTAAGTCTCTTTTACATAACTTTAGATGGACCGAAAAAGATTTACACTAAAGCAGCGGAGCCTAGTGAAACGTGAATGAAAAGGCTTTGAAATCTTAAAATGCAGAGTCAAGAACTCATGTTTGCCGTTCTCACAACGAGACACATATGCCAGCTGCAAAACCTATATCCATTATATGAGCTCCGGTCAACAGAACAACTATGTACATTGACATTAATACAGCATCTATAAGCCTTTTACAGAGGGAGAGAAAGCCGGTCTTAATTAATAGCTGGAATCCAGATATTTCAAAGAGGCCGACCTCTGCCCATGCAGACTCGATCCTCATGCATAAAAGTTCCTTTTCACGTTTAAAGAGCTCTAAGAGGTCATAATCTATTATATATTTACTGAATACTTTATGTAGATACAGCGGTCTCTCTCTCTATCTATGGTGTGGTCCTTTCGCTCCTTATTATGGAGCTTTTATGTTATCCGACGAAAAGCAAACCTAGGACTTGTGATACCACGACATTGTGCTCACTATTAAGATTGCAGATAGTTAGAATAACTCCAGCCCTGGCTGGCAATAAAGAATTGAAGGTACCGATTCTCAAAAGGTCCCCGACTTTAGAACTTCCTGGGTTTGATTCCTTTTTTTCTAGAGCTTATATCCACATAATCCCATATCCGAGTGGAGTGAGTTCATTAATTTCGTTTCCTACCCTACAGCATCATTCATCTGTTCGAAGGCGGAATTTTGGACAAAATGACCAATGCCGAATATGCTACACAATCGCGTATGCTCGGGAAGGAATACAATAACCAACATCCCACAAGTGCAGCTGAGACAAATGGCAACAACGAACCACCACCGAGCGACGACAATCGTAATGGAAATGGTGGCAGTACGGATGTTGGCGGCAAGGCAGATGAGAGTGCTGGGACTGCAACCAAGTCACAGGACACGCAAATCATACAGCCGTTAAATCTGCGTATGCTGCAGGGCGCTTTCATTGTGCTGCTCTGTGGTTATGCCGCGGCAAGTGAGGGAATTTGTAATGAAACAAAATTATTGAGTATTAATTTCTCACAGTGTATGAGTTCGTATTCAAGCGAGAAAGTATTTTAGAAACTCTACTTCTTTATTTTTCCACTTTCAGCTGTTATTCTCGTGTTGGAGCTATGTTGTCATCGTTTAAACTGGAACTTTATGGAGCGCTTTCAAGTCCGCTTGCTGCGTCGTTATCGCTGTGTTTGTCGGAATTTCCGTCGAATTGCGCATTCAGTATTTGTCAGAGTTTTTCGTTAATGTTTTTTGTTTTTAATTTATTTAAATAATTTTAATTTTTATACTCGACTAACAACTCCTTATCACTTTTTAAGTTTTGCATGGAATTTGTTGTTGGGAAATTACGAAATTTTGCTGTTGTTTCTGAATAATATTGTAGTTCTAAATGTAAATTTACCCATTTTTATCGCGGCACCCGCATTAGCTGGAGTATATATTTGTAAATTACCTACATAATAGTTGTTCTTGCGCTTATAGAATTTATATACGTACATATGCAGGAGCTTATCTAGTATTTTGAAGTTTCTGAAGCGTGAAAAGCACTAACCTAAAGTACAATTTAGGAATAAACTAATTTATTTAATGTGAAAATATTACAAAATGACTAAAATCACACATGTATATGTATGTATCTGTGTTATGTATTAAACCTAGGATTGTTAAAAAAAAATAAAAAGAATTGTCTATGTTAAAGTAAAAAACGTTTAATTAGTGCTAGCTGGTTTAGAATATTAATAACCAATAAACTGCCGCTTTAGTCCATTTATTGCACTGGACAGGATAAAACGTTTGCCAGAGGATTTGGATGACTTTGCAGTTTCGCAACCCGTGAGGTATAGTAGCGTTTTTGATTGGAATCGCTGTATTTTGAGAGTACTAGCTGCGCAGGCATAGCCCCATAATTGTATTCCAAATAACCATATTGGCTTTATGACAGCTTTATATAGAAGAATCTTATGATCCATGAATGAACCCGAGTTTTTACCAAGTAGCCAGCGGTTTAAAGTTATAGATGCTGTATTTTTAGCAAAAATAGCCTATCTAGCTGGAAACCAAGTATTTAACTTCGCTTGCTTAAGGGCTCATTACGTTGTAATGGCACCGCGTCAAAAGTGGCCATAAAATGTAGAAACTTTCTCAACAAACTCTCAACTAAATATAGCACTGCCGTTGTCTGTGTACCTGGACACAGGGATATCCCAGGCAACTGCATAGCGAACGAACTAGCTAGGGAAGGAACCCTTCTATCTACGATAAAACATGCACATGATGCTGTTTTACCTCAAGGCACGGCTAAGTAAATGCTTAAACTGGCATTCACCAGGGAAGCTGACGAGCGATGGTTGAACGAGATCACGTGTAACGTGACCAAACAGCTATGGTCAAGACTGGACGCGAAAAAATCCAAACATCTTATCCTTCTAGACCGATAACTGGCCAGTGTTTAATACGGTTTCACGGGAAAGGAATGGGATGTCATTCCAATGATTTCTGCCGCAGCTGCACGGATGAGCTTTACCTCTACAACTGTCTAGCCTTGACATCAGCGCGATACAAGTTTCTTGGGAAATATTTCTTCAATTGTCTCGCTGAGATAGCCTCAGCGAATGGAAATCTCGTTGCCTTTATAAGGCACATGAAATGATTTAATCATCTGACAAGATAAAGGTAAGAGCTTCAGTGGTATCACAATGGGCCTATTGGCCTAAATGTGCTGGCAGCAGCAGCCGCATCAACTAAACTCAATTCAAGGTATGATATGAAGATCTGATGCAAGTTTTTTTAGCAAAGTTATTTTAATTTTGTATTCAAGTCCTTCATTGCATACTTTATCAAATGCTTGAGCCACATCAAGAAGTATCGCTGAGCAATACTCTTTCAACTCAAACGCCTTCCGGAAAACCGAATTGATGGTTTGGTATAATTTTTCTATAAAGGATCCGGGTTTGGCTATCGTGATAATCTGCAACTTTTTCCACCCATTTGGAAAATATCCAAATTCAAGAATGGTATTAAAAAGTTGAGACAAGAAATTGAAAGCAATATTTGGTGGTTCTGTTAGCATTTGTGGTGTAATGTGGTCGTAACCAGATGACTTTAGATATTTAACGCTTTTGCTATGACTTCTATCTCAGAAGAGATCGATCTCTCGTCGGAAATAGTCCTAGTGCCGTATGAGGCAAAAATGGAATCGTGAAATTATTCATTGCTGCATTGGGTTGGAATACTTCGAATTCGAAGTTAATTATTTAATTTGGTTGGTAAATTCTTCGCAAAAACAACTACATAACGCCAAGTTTTACAGCTACAAAATATCTAAGTTAACTGAATGGGAAAAAAGTGAAAAACAACAAAAAGTGAAAGCGACGCACATGTAACTTAATGGGATAACCATTGGCTCGTGCTGTGGCCATCCCAAGTCCGAATGCCATTCGAAGAAAAATGTCTGGGAAAAGAAGTCTGATGAGGAAACGCGGTGGTTTTCTAATAATAAATAGCAGCTATGACTTCTACCGTCAAAAACGTTCGTTGTAATTTTTCCAATTTTTCCAAAATTATATGACCTTAATCAGTTCCATAAAACTGAAAACCCCAAAAACAATTTAATAGGACTTGGCACTTTGAACGTCGACATTACATTGGAAATGTTCAAAATACAGCTTGTACAAGAACTGAAGCCGCTTGACCTTCTCAAGCCACATCGCTTCGCTCTATGGGCTCTTGAAAAGTTCCAAGAAGATCCGATATTTTCGAGCTAAATTTATTTCAGTGCTGAGGCCCATTTCTGGCTCAATGGGTTTATAAATAAGAGCTACCTGAAGAGATTCAAGAGCTGCCATTTTATCCAGACAGAACAACGGCTTGGTTGTCGTTTTTTTAAAACTGATGCCGGTGAGAACGTTTTATTTATATATATAAAAATTTGTTCGTTTGTAAAGATCCGGTAAACTGACAGATTAATTTAACATTTTGTGAGATTCTTTCTATGGTTCCTGGGAAGGAACGAAGAAGATATCCCAAAATGGAGCACTTCTGTTTCCTGTAAATAGCCCAGAGAGCTGGAACCAAGTTCGGTTTGCTCGGAATATGAATAATATTTTCTTTTCGCCAAAGAGATCACCGACAGATTGGCAAAAACTAATATGATGGATATAAGCATAATGGTGCCTAGGTCGGTTTCACATTTTTGTTATTTTGGACCTACGGGTTCAAACTCTATGCCTGAATGGCGCGTTTGGCTTACTTAGATATTTTCGTTAAAAACTTCGAGCAGAGAAGAAGTGACCCACACACACACATAAGAAGATACATATATCTATATCTGTACAGCTCCAACAAAAGACTTAAAATTGCAACTCTGAGAAAACCCTTACTTTGATTTTTCTTTTTGCGAAGGCACTGAGAAGTTCTTTCTGGTAAAAACCGTAAACTGGTGAATCTGATGTTTTTCAACAATTTTTAAGATAAGCGGTAACGAGAGCACACCTGTACCCGATAGTAGAAGTACGGAGAAAACCGCCTCCTCAAAAATTGGTTGCGCATAGATCCCACTTCCAACGATCTGAGAAGATCATATTGAGACTTATTTTTTACACCCTCAATTATTTAGTTTGAGGCATCACGAATTGCCGCCGACTCCGCTAAATTTAATATCGTGCTTGCGAGTGTTTCCTCGACGAAACTCATACAATTGCACACGCCTACGACCTTCAAAAATTTCACTTTAAGTCAGCAACGCCGTTTTGAACGTGTTTTGAAGGAACTACCATTAGGAGATCGCCGACCCAGCCACTTGTACATCGAAATGTGACGTACGAATACAGATATTATCGCCACCAACATCCATCCAAACAGCGAGAAGGTAAAATTGCAGATTCCATTACCGAGTTTCTGGCTTTAAAAGACGACCACTAGTGTAGTATTGGTCATAGGCCAACTCATTGCAGATTGGCAGATACTCCAGTACCAAGAGATGTTTTCAACTTTGTGTAAACGATACATCCACCAAAATGAACTTTTTGATCGATTCATAGCCAGACGTTATCTCGAGATTGTCCTACCTAAATGCAACTTTTTGGTCATTCTGAATTTACGACGTGAGGTTTTGAGAAAATTTGTGTTAGCAGAGTCTACAATGCCTTATTATGTGTAAACTTTCGCTGACACCATAGCCTGTTTGTTAACCAACAAGGGATGTGCCTTGTCGAACGTGCTACTCTGCTACAGACATGGTGCCCAACAGCAAGACTAATAACGCCAAGCATTTCTACAATTGAACTACCCTGAGATTTCCAACATTATTAAAGAGTTTGCTGAAATTACTTGTCTACTTGAAACTCGAATTATCGTATTATCACGACCGTTCCAACCACGACGACTATCACCGCAGCAACTTTGCGATCCCATTACACTTAAAGCGCGAGGCTGACGGATCATGAAGACCTTGTGGCGGTAAAGAGCACTGAACGGCGGCTATCCGCTGCCGTTCCGTGGGGCTTTTTTACGATCTTAAAAAATAAAATTGAGTTTGGCATACCCCAATGAAACCGTTCGCTCACTGCTAGCTATAATCAAGCACCTACGTCCTCATTCGAGTTGACTCCATTGGGTCATATTCAGTCCCACACTGAAAGCGAATCCGTCAGATATAAATCAATATTCACTGCTGTGGAATCAGATGAGGCAATCTTTTATTTAACAGAATTTTTCAGACTTAGCGTGGCACCCACCGCACCGATTAAATTTGAAAATCGGTGTGCAAATTATATTGTGGATTGCTTGAGTGGAGTGAGTAGATAAAACTATGATGAACAGATGTCTAATGTTTCATTTCTCATACATTCTTTGAGTATGCGCCGCAGCTAGCCCTAAGTCCTGTTTGTTAGTATTTTTACTTGAATATTGAAGTGTATTAGTTCGAAGTATTTTGGAAAAATTTTCGAACTCGAATAACATTTTCAACCCGTTATTTACTCGTAATACTTTTTTATAACTTTTTGAACTTTTGGAGTTTACTACGTGATGTTATTTTATTGTGCTCTTAGTAGGTTTCCCAAGAGATTTTGTAAGACATTTCACTTGAATATTCGACTGCTTTTGCAAATCTATATTAAGCCATATTAAATACCGTTTTATATAAACTTCGATGATTATGGGATAATTCTCGAATTCTTTAGTAATCCAAAGAATCCTCAAGGACACATTTAGGCGACACGTTCAGAAATATTTTGGACCAGCTTAAAAAAATTGGCAGACAATTTCCAGAACGATCAATAAAATGCTTCAGGGAAACCAAAATATATATGTTATGCTGGCTTCCTACAAATAAGTTTTGACGGAATCTCTAGTGAGCTTTAATATTTCTTTTATTTCAATAGCCACAAGTCCTCCATTACTCCGTAGCTTTTGTTTTACTCATAAGTGCTTAAACCCAAAGGTATTATATCCTGATCTTAAACAGCCATACTTGCAAATTTCAAATGTCTCAAACGAATACGGCGGTGACCTGATAAAATTTAATAAATAGTGCGAAACCTAAGAACGATGTCGAATAGCAATGTTACATTATGGGCCGCAGCTGACCAATTCAAATTTGCATATAATTGAAATCAAATATAT